AAAGGTGCTAATTAAGCGCTGTTCGCGCAGGTGACCAATTGAGTGACAACTTGGCGCTCACTGTCATCGTTATATGACGCACCTGATTCAACGGTTTAGTTAGAATAATATTTGTTCTGTTGTCTGTGACGACCGTGTAACTGGTATAAAAGGATGAGCCTGAAAGCACGTGCAATTTTCAGTGTTGACCGGCTTTTACGATGTTCGCCTTAATCATTCTCATCGCTTCCACTAAACTGCTTGCATATCAAGTAATATATGTTTTATGTAGTCTCTTTTAATTTTCGCTCAAAAAATAACGTTATCAGGTCATGGCCATGGAATGCGGAGTACCACTGGTGCAACCAACTCCTCGGAAAAGTGTAAAGGCGGTTGGAAAAGGCATGACTCCTTGGATGGGCAAGGTCATAATGGATGATGCTGATGAAGGCCCTACAGTGACGTTAGTGAGACACCCGAAAAAGCTGAACTATATTCGCACAATTGCGGTTACTTCATATTTGGCTGCTAGTGATATGATGTCTGCGATGGTTGCAGGTAAAACAATAATAAATTTATGCCTTTCAGGAAAAGAATTGAGAATGACGTGTCTCGACTAAGAGTACATTTCGACCTTTACGATGTAAAAGACGCGGTCGAAGGTGCACCGAATACTTATTCCGTGAAAGCCGTTATTCTGGAGAGCCAAGCTTCCTCTGACGATGCACTGTTGCATTTTGCTGTAGTGGTGCTGAACGAAGAAGTTGACGCAACTCCGCTCTGTTTCCCCTATCCTTCTTCGATCGTTGATTTTTCCTCTGCGTCCACATGCTTCATGAGCGGATATGAAAATCTTGGTATGAACAGTACGTGGTCTAACGTAAAATGTCTTTGACAGGTTACCATTCTGAAGTTAGCACCAACGTCAGCTTATGAAACCATCTGTAGCATCGTTCAAGGTTCTTCTTCCGTTTCTTACTGGCAAATGTCATCCTCAGCTTTCTTGGAGGTGAGAGGGCACATCGACTTGAACATGGAGAATTTCGCTGTGTCCTTAGTCCAGGATATCCAGAATTTGACTATCTCGTTACTGGAACAGTTCTATTTTCACTGAAATTCGTCGCCTATTTTCGTCTGGATCTTGAGATCTCGATTCCCATAATCCGTAAGATTCTTGTCAGGGTTAAAGCACAAAACGTCAAAAAGGTTGCAGAATAGTTTCGGCGAAACATTCCGAACAGTGATCGTCAATGTTGATCATTTATTGACTCATTTCGAGCACAGACTCTTTCAAGATTATTGAATAAGGAAATTCAAACACTGCGTTTCACAGCATATAACGCTACCCATTCACTTGCAAATGCATGAGAGACCATATCAACATGCCATTTCTACTTTACCTTTAAAAGAATGGCCATTTTATGCATTGTTTCACACATCGCTTTTTTCCTGTATTCGCCAGAATAACCAACAAGCGAATATGCTACCGAATCATCGAAGACGTCTAATATTCTAATATTCGTGTTCATGTAGTAGTAAGATAACCGAATATAACAAAAAATTATAATTAATTCAATTCAATTGCCTATATCAGGGAAGCTGCTACATAATAGAACTGCTAATCTATCTGCGAGTTATCATTTTTAATACTTTAATGATAGGAGGAAAGAGTGGCTTCGACTTGCGATACAAGAAATTAGCAGTAAAGGACCCTTCCAACTGCCCAATTGACGTTGATCCGAAAACGGAAATTTGCACTGATAACTACCGCTGCAAGGTAAGGCAACTATGAAGAGTTTTCCGTCCAAGATTTGTGGAAAGCGAGTAAATCTTTACAGAATTAATTTTTGATGACTGAAAACACTCCTTTGCTGCAAATTGTAAATTTATGGTTGTTGTAAAGCCGCAATTGCTTTTAGAAATAGGTGGAGTGTCTTCTAAAGAAGTCGTTCAGGTTGAACTTATATTTTGCACATAATTTATCGAAGTATATATGTACTCGATTCTGATTTATACTCAAAATGGATTAGTGTATTCGTTGATTAACGAGCTGAGGAGTGCCCAAGATACTGCATCTCTCAAATCTGGAGTTACATCGCCAAAGAATATGCATTCCATGGGGGTAAAACATCTCTATGAGGTGCACATCCTCCCCATTTTAATAAGGAACCTTATTTGTACGGATTGGTGGCTTAGGTTCTGAGGTGAACAGAATTCTGTCTATGTCAGTTAACTTATTAATAATAGAGCTACAATCAAATAATATGTTTTTCCCTTGCTATGAAAAAAATTTGCCGTTCTGAAATCACACAATTCAGTTTCGTTTTTAGTTAGGACGTTGCATCAGTTTAGGACCTTTTACCTTTTATACTAGTGTTACTAGCTTTTAATTGCTATGGAGAAAATCTAATGGCACTAAGATACATTTTTGGTCAGCTGCCCTAAACAGAAACTAGGGGAAACACCAAATTTCCTCGTCTGCAGTTGGTACGACTGTCTGCGGAGTCTTGTTCATAATGGCTGCGATTAATAGAGGAACACGTCTCGTTGTGGAGGTCGAAACGAGGTTAACGGATGATTATACAATGGGAAATGTTGTTGTGTTCGATAATTTTGGCAGGTTTTCGTTGAGGGTCGGCATGAAGCACTCAACAATGACCTTTTGGCTTGTTTCTAGTAAGTTCAGGAGTCTCTATGAGGTAGAGATAGAACGATATGAACTTGAGCTTATTTAAAAATTTTCATGTTTCTGACGTTTCGTACTATAAGTCTGCTGTGCACAAGAAAGATGGAGCAAACATCATGATCTTCGAAGATCCCTGAAACAAAGAAGGTTCATGACAATAACGGTTCCTCCAAAATGGGACAAGCGATGACAGCGGGCATGTAAAGAAAGGACAGATCATCAGAACCCATTGTTAAAGTACCGTATACCTATCAGCATCGTTACTCGTTGTATCGATTACGAATTGGCACTAATTAACATCCAAATGTGACACAGACAGTTATATCACATCAAATACGATAAAATAACTTCGACAATTATAACGTTTAACATACTCAACATCTTAGGCTGACGATGGTAGCCCCTTCCAGTGCAAAATTGGTGACAAATGGTACATCGCTGGCATCCGAGATAGAGGTATTGCGTGCAATGCATTTGTTAACGTCTCCAGTAGTGAAAATTTCATAATGAAAAATATGTTTTCGCTATAAATTGCGGCTCTTTTCAATATATTTTTTGGTTTGATGAATTTTAAAATTTTTATTAAAAGGTTGATGAACTTTATTGTATCTTAGTCTTACATTCTTGAGACGGCGTTTTCCCAATTACGATTTCAACTCATATTTTGAAGCAAATAATTTAAGTTAAACCATCAGTTGTAGACTTGGCTGTGGCCTGACTGCTGAACTCTTCTCATATGAACACTTTGTCGTCGTGTATATCACAAGCGCCATATCGGTAATACGAAGCTACTGAAAACTGTGCTCACGATTCGTTTAATTTGATGAATTCTTCCGGTGAAAGCTGGAAATTAAATGGGCCATTACCAGAAGGGGTAATAACTGGCACACTCGTAATTGGGTCTTATTCCTGATTAATAGGGATCACCATTCGACAGCTTTGATGTTCAGGCTTTTCTATCTTGTACGTAATTGCATACTTTCCTTTTCTTCATCGCCCCTCGTTGAATGTAATCCAACAGTCTTGCAATCGGACGTTTAGCGCGCTTTTGTTGCTAGCATGTCACAGTTGAAACCAACCTGTCATCCGTCAATCGTGCAACCTTATCCTTCCATTCTCCTTTTGTCTCATGTGAAATTGACACTATGTCATGCATCTACGTGCGTTTTATTACCACTTCATTTCGCAGCTTTCCGTTGAGGAAATTCCTAACGTCATTCGTTGCAGCCACTGCGACACTCTTAAAATATAATCCCTAATTCGTTTTCCCCTTAATCCATGGATTTAGCAACAATATGACATTATTCGCAACGCCGTGCAATAATGTGCATTTGGTAATTTTCTGATGTCAGAAACGTTATCGTTTCTTCTCTAGAAACTGAATCTTGCATTATGTTTTATAGTAATCCGTAGAGCTGGAAAGTAGCCCTAGACGATTAGCTGTCCTCAGGGGACATCTGTCGGTCAGCCATTGATGGAAACTGTAGCCGGTAGTGAAAATCTTCCTCCTCTCGTCTTTGTCTCTGCCTTGTTTACTTGAAGTCCAACTTGCACGTTTTTCCCTCTAGCTTAAACTTTTTTTGTTTTGTTTTGTGCAGCACGATGTCGCAGAAAATCGAACATCATTTCTTCATCTTCCGTTGGCTGAAAGTCCTCAATCCCATTTTATTTTGCACAGTACTCATTCACGACATCCAGTAAACACCTTTGGCGATATTTTACCTAGTTGATGAATTCCATGAAAAAACAAGATTTAACAATATCTTATAGCAAATGAATCTTAGTATTGCAACTTCAGTATCCATTTTGCAGATCCCCGATGTACTGTTTTTCCATTCCTTGCTAATCGAACACTCTGTGTCGTGGTTCACCTTGTGGAATGCCTCTTCGTAGGCGACCAATTTCATGTAGAAAAACTATTTGTTCTCATCATTAATTTCATGTAGATTGTTAAACATCACGGATGTAGGCGAGCGTGGAATATCGAATAAATTATTAACGTACATCATAGAGTCCTGAAATTCAAATTACGCTTCCAAGTCCCAACCAAATGAGAAGTGACAAGTCGTCTTTGCTAATTGTCTGCAACGTCATGGTGGTTTCACACAAAAACACACAACGAAGTGCACGACGTGAAACATTTCTGAAACTAATGAATTTCTAAGATTA